ACTTCATTAAGTTCCTCATTACCTGCTGTCAAAGCTATCAGAGAGCCGGATTCTGTTCCAGTCTCTGTTCCTTTTTCTTTCCAGCCTAATCAGACAGTTCACATGACATGAACATGAGCTTCTGCTCGGCCCGGCTTTGAGGATTTCGTGTAGGACAGCTGGATGACTGGAGTCATTCTAAACCCACAAACAAGAAACACACTATTCAAAAACATTATATATGAAAGAAAAAATAAATAAAAAAGACAGAATATTAATGGCATTTGCTAATTTAGTTTAATCTGTAATCACTTTTTGAAATTCCTACTTTGCTGTATTTTGCTGTCTTCATTATATATCTGTTAGACATCTGGCTAAAATCAGAAAGACAAAGAGCTTTATTGCCAAGTATGTTTGCACATACAAGGAATTTGATTTGGTGACAGAAGCTTCCAGTACACAGAGACAAAAACACACACATAAAACAAAATAAAGATGTGTGAATAAAATACACATATGTATACATATATAAATAAACAAAATTAGACAAAAAAATGTATGTTCAGGTGTGCTATAGATGGAATAGGATAGAGTAAGATGTAGAGATGGACTAAGATGGGTGGTATCAAATAAATATAAGTAGTATTGCACATATTTTATTGCACAATGGGGAGAGCATTAATTGTTTGTGAGGTAGATTGCCTGGGGGAAGAAAGTTTTCTTGTGCCTGGCTGTCCTGGTGTTCGGTGCTCTGTAGCGCTGACCAGATGGCAAAAGTTCAAAAAGGAGATGGCTTGAATGTGAGGGATCCAGAATTATTTTCTGAGCCCTTTTCCTCACTCTGGATATATACAGTTCTTGACGAGTGGGCAGGGGAGCACCAATAATCCTCTCAGCAGTCCAAATAGTCCTCTGTAGTCTTCTAATGTCTGATTTTGTAGCTGAGCCAAACCAGACAGTTATTGAAGTGCACAGGACAGACTCAATGACGGCTGAGTAGAACTGTGTGAGCAGCTGGCAGGTTGAACTTCCTCAGCTGGCGAAGGAAGTACAATCTCTGTTGGGCCTTTTTAACAATGGAGTCTATGTGACTGTCCCACTTCTGAGAGATGGTGTTGCCCTGGAACGTGAATGACTCTACTGCAGCCACAGTGCTGTTCATGATAGTGAGTGGGGGGAGTGCAGGGAGGTTTCTCCTGAAGTCTACTATAATCTCCACTGTTTTGAGCATGTGTTAAGTTCCAGGTTGTTAAGACTGCACCAGACAGCCAGCTCAACCTCTTGTCTGTAAGCAGACAAGAGGTTGCTCCTAAGTGAAAGTTGTAGAAATCAGACCGTTAATTGTGATTTTAAACTACTATTTATGGTCAGAACATGACAAACACTTCACACTTTTGAATTTACACTTTTCCAGTCATTCTTCCTTAACAAAATAAATATCAATATAGAACAATTTATTTCTTAGTATCTGCATGTTCTAATGAGTGATATTGTGTCAAATGATGAAGCAGGTTTGTGTTCCTGACTTTGATGATGCGTATCTTCAGCACAGTTTGCAGTGCAGGCTGCAATATTAATAAAATTACATTTTTTGTCTCTTAGAAATGCACATTTGACAGTAGTAACTTGAGTTAGAATGCAGATGTAAATTTCATTTCATTAATGAAATTTCATTTAATTAATGTTCATTATCAAAAACAGTAACATCTGTAAAAATTGTAGTAACCTCATTTTTATATGGTAAAATTTTATTATTCTGACTGAGTTTTATTAAAGTTAATCATTGGTCTCCCATAGTAGCGTACATTTAGATCATGATAACCACAGTTAAAACCACACATATAGCACCTCAATACCATGACAAAAATATAACTATGTAACTATGGTTTATAGTCATTTGTATGAAAAATACATTTAGTATAAATGCACAAATGCTATAGCTTAATCACAAAAATAATGTAATTAATTATATTTCATTAATCTTTTAATACATTCCATATATGTCTACATTAATAATATAATCAAATTCAATATGAATATCCCTAATTTCTGCCACAATACCATGGTGCAGTTAGTGTTACTACAGTAAATCCATGGTAAATTATGGCGATTTGTAGATTTAAAGTCTATCTGACTGTCTCGTTGCAGTTCATAGTGTTTCTCCTGTTTGTCAGCACTGTTTAATCCGGCTTTAAACTAGTTTAAATCACTGAGTCATTTGTGTTCTTCGCTGAATTGAAGCACTTCACACTGGATCTCACAGCACTGTTTAGTATTGCATGTAGTATTGCGTATGAACGCATCTGCTCTACACTCTTAAGAAAAATGGTTCTAAACTGTACCAGAAAAGGGTTCTTCGGCTTGTAACAATAGCAGAACCCTTTTTAGTGCTAAATAGAACCTTTTTTATAGGGTTCCATTTAGAACCATGCTTTGAAAATGCTATATAGGACCTTAATGGTGTTATAAATAACCTTTTTAAATGATAGTTTTTCATTAATATTAGTATGTTAATATCATTAATATTAGTATTATTTGTATATATGGTGTTATAAATAACCTTTTTAATGATAGTTTTTCATTAATATTAGTATGTTAATATAATTTAATATTAGTATTATTTGTATATATTATTTTTTAATAGTTTTTTACCCCTCTATCTGTCTGGTCTTATAATATCTTGAAGTGTCTATTAGGGTTTTACATAAAATCAACAATAACAACATCATCATCATCAACAACAATGTGTCAATTAGCTACTTTTATTTTTTTAATGACGTGCAATTGTAGCAAAGATGACAGTGTTCTAACAACAGTCATTAGCAGAATACATTATTGATTGACAATGGACATTGAAGATAAATAAATGCTTAAAGAAGTAAAACAAAGTATAACATAAAATAGTAAAATGAAGACCAAACTCCAGTGAACTATCTTCACAATCCTCTATGATACCTCTAAGTTAATCATTATCTGTATTTTGGTGTGATTGAATGGCAGTTTCTCTCTGCAGATGATGAGGTTGTAGGATGTGACAGTATCTGAAATGCACAATTGAGTTTAGATATATAGTTTGTCTCCATTAATTTGTTTATGTGAAAACAATTGTTTATGAAGGTCAAAAGTAGTATGTGAGCACTTCACAATGTTAAAAGGGAAAAGTCATATAAAGTCATGGGATAGCTGGGTAAGTTTATGCATAAACTCTAGTAATAAAAAACAAAACAAATGGACCATAAATTCAATATCTTTGTTATTTACTTAGTGAAGCAGAGGAGAATATCCTTACCTGAATAGAGCTGGTCACACTTGCATGTTCTCTTAAACTAAACAGAGAAAAGACATAGGAAACCAATTAGCATTTGAAAGTTATAATATATAGACATTTTAAGAAAGAAATGATTTACCTGTTGAGAGTGTGTGAAATTGTAGCAAAAATGACAGTGTTCTAACAACAGTTATTAGCAGAATACATTATTGAATGACAATGGACATTGAAGATAAATAAATGATTAACGAAGTAAAACCAAATATAACATAAAATAGTGCATGGGATAGCTGGGTATGTTTATGCATAAACTCTAGTAATAAAAAAACAAAATAGACCATAAATATCTTTGTTATTTACTTAGTGCAGAAGAGGAGAATATCCTTACCTGAATAGAGCTGGTCACACTTGCATGTTTGCTTAAACTAAAAAGAGAAAATACATAGGAAACCAATTAGCATTTGAAAGTTATAATAAGAACAAAAATAGATGTGATGAAGACCAAGTTTCAGTGAAACAATCACAATCCAATCAATATGATGCCTTTAAGTCCATCATTTTGGTGTGATTAAGTGGCGATTTTGCTCTGCAGATGATGAGGTTGTAGGATGTGATACATCTGAAATACACAATTAAGTTTAGAGTTACAGTGTGTTTATGTAAAAACAATTATGCTTATGAAGGCCAAAAGCAAAAATGGACAGTATGTGAGCCCTTCACAATCTTAAAAGAAAAAAGTGATATAAAGTCATGGGATAGTTTTACTATTTTTTTGTGACTGGATATGTTTATACATAAACCCAAGTAATAATTAAAAAATCTAACAATATGAATTATAAATTCATTGTCTCTTTTACTTACTTTGTGGAGAAGAGAAGTTTCCACAGCTTAGCAGAGCTGCACACACTTATATGTGACCAAAAACAAACAAAAAAAAAAGATAAGAACATGTTTGTTTGGAAGCAGATACATTTTTAAAGTTGAATTTGTATTTAAATTAAAGAATGAAATCATTTACCTGTTGCGAGTGTGTTGACAGTCTGTGTAGTTGGATCACTGAACTCCAGAAAATCAGTAATGAGTTACTTTGACAGTTACAGATTTGAAAAACAAAAGGGCAGGAACAAAGAACCCTAAACTCTAACACAAAGAACCATTTCAGCATAAAAGGGTTCTTCAGAATGCTATGGTTCTAAATAAAACCATTACTGCATGTAAAGAACCTTTAAAGAACCATCTTTTTTTAGAGTGTAGTGAGCTCGCTCGCTTCGCGTGTGGCGCGCTTCAAATGAGCAGTGCTGTTTCCTTCCTCTTTTGGCGGAAACATTATAAATAAACATTATATCGAACATTTATCGAACTCTTCATATAATTTTATCTCCCAGCCCTACTGTAGTGTCATCTGCAAACTTCAGAAGCTTGAAAGAGGGGTCAGTAGAGGTGCAGTAATTAGCTGCTTTTCCACTGTCGGTCCAGTGCGTGCCAGGGCTAACAACGAGCCGGGCAGGGCCAATGGCCTCGCACCTCAAGCCGCGAGCCCAAAATCAAGCCGCCTTTCGCTGTCGGACCAGCACTACTGTAAAACCCGCCCTTAACACGCCTCTCTAAAGCAAACGTCACACAAGCCCAGCATTTCACCAGAGAGGGGAACATTTATGAAAACTATATCGTAAAATGAACTTAACAGAAATGGACATTTGGTCCTTACATAAGGACTTGAGACTTCAGCATCGATATTTTATATGATTTATGATAAAAATAGTAATGTATTATTTTGTGTGAGCATGTTTAATCAAACTATTTATCATTATTTCACATTAAAAGAGAACACATACTTGTTCAGTCGCAGCAGCTCCATTTATTTGTGATGACAGGAATGGAAAAAACAACTCCATTAGGGCTTTTAAGTCCAAATGTGTACACATACAATACCACAGAAAAATACTGACAAAGCCTTATATGTTTCGGTCAAATTTATTTAGAAAGAATGAGCATTTATATTAATTTCCCACAATGCATGTAATCCGAGGAGGTTTGACCACAGACAGAAAATCTGAGTTACACAGAGTATATGAAATGTATGGCATATGCAGATGAAGAAGTCAGGTATAAACAAAGACACATGGAAGAGGCAGAAATATTAAACCAAATAAATGCATGAGTATAATCATATATGATTTGTCTAAGTTATTCAAGCTGTCTCTGGTATTTTCATAAGCATAAAGTATTCTTATTATAGTGATTGTTAGCATGCAGACTTTAACATCACGTATAATACATTTTTGCCTCATACGGTGATCAGAATTCCAATCAGGTCGCAATCGTAAGTTAATTCAGGCAGTCGCTAGTGTTTGAAAGTGAGTTTTGCCATTAAAATTGTTTTAAATGTCTTAAATATTGATGCTAGTTGATTGCTTGATATGAAAACATGAGAAATGAACAGCGGTGCCAACCATCTCTAACTCTGATAAACTCTGCCTTTGTTCATGACCACTCCTCTAGCCCCACTTGGCCCACTTTGGCCCAATGTATTCGGAGGGCTGAAAATCCCTGGGCGTTGGCCCCGAGGAAGCCCCGGCGAGGTACGATTAAGCCCCCAGAAGTGATGTTGGAAATGCGACTGGCCCTGGCATGCACTAGCACGCTCACTTTTGGCCGGACAGTGGAAATGTGGCTAGTGGTGTTGAAGGGGCACCAGTGCTGATGGTGTGGCTGTGAAAAGATGTGGGCCAGCTGGTGAGCACAGGTTTTTAGACAGGCTGGTGAAACACCATCTGGGCCTGGTGCTTTTCTTTTTGTTTCCTGAAGACCTGACGCACATTATCTTCACTGACCCAAAGTCCAGGAGGGGGGTTGCTGGAGGTGTTAATGTTTGTGTAGAGAGATGGTCAGAACGGGTGAGGGGGTGTGAGACCGGGAGTTTCAAATCTACAGTAAAACTAATTTAGGTCTTCAGCAAGTTGTTGATTCTCCTCAGTGCTGGGGGATGGTGTCTTGTAGTTTTTAATGTCTTGCTGGCCTTTCCTCACTGAAGCAGGGTTGTTAGTTGAAAACTAGTTTTCCAACTTTTTAGAGTAGCTCCTCTTAGCCACTCTGATCCTTTGTCAATGTGTTCCTGGCCTGATTGTACAAGATTCTGTCTCCACTCCTGTAGGCATCCTCTTTGGACTGACAAAAATGTCTGAGTTTTGCTTTGAACCATGGCTTATCATTGTTGTATGTTAAATGAGTCCTGGTAGGAATGCATATATCCTCAGAGAAACGGATATATAATGTTACAGAATCTGTGAGCTCGTCCAAATCTTTGGCAGCAGCTTCAAAAACACTCCAACCAGTGCAGTCGAAACAGGCTTGTAATGCCCACTCTGTTTTGTTGGTCCATCTCTTTACAGTCCTTACTACAGGCTTAGCAGATTTAAGTTTTTGCCTGTATGTTGGAAGAAGATGAACCAGACAGTGGTCAGAGAGTCCTAAAGCTGCTCTGGGGAAGGAGCAATATGCATCCTTTATTGTGTTGTAGCAGTGGTCCAAATTTATTTATTTTTTTTGTCTCTGGTGGGGCATGTAATGTGTTGTTTGAATTTTGGCAGTTCACGTGTGAGGTTTGCTTCATTAAAGTCCCTGAGAATGATTATAACAGAATCTGGGTGATGTTGCTCTGTGTCTGCGATCTGATCAGCCTGCTGTTGTAACGCTGCACTTGCGGAGGAATGTAAACACTAACCAGAATGAACAAGGAAACTCCCGTGGCAAGTAGAAAGGCTTACAGTTGATGAAGAGCGCTTCTAGATTGGGACAGCACATCATCTTCATCTGTACACCACCTTTCATTGATGTAAAAGCATGTCCCACTGCTTCGCGATTTCCTTGTTCTCATGCGGCGGCTGTTCAGGATGCTAAATTTTAAAGAGATCCTCGTGCAAATATGCGCCAAGGACTGGTTTCTGTCTGTGGATCTGAAAGATGCATTCTTTCACATCCAAATAGCCCCCACGTCACAGACCGTTCTTGAGATTTGCATTCGAGGGAGTGGCCTATTAGTTCACAATCCTACCATTCGGACTGTCTTTGGCCCCTCACACTTTTACAAAGTGCATGGACACGGTTATTTGCCCTCTGATACAGATGGGAATCCGCATCTTGAACTACCTTGACGACTGGCTTTTGCTAGCCAGATCAGAATGGGAACTCATCGCTCACAGGTTGTTGTTGTTCAACCATCTGGGGCGTTTTGGGCTGAGAATCAACTCAGCCAAGAGTTTTCTGATCCACAGACTGCGAGTGTCCTTTCTGGAAACAGTTATAGACTTAGTTCAAATGCAAGCCTGGATTACGCCATAACGCTCCCTGAACATTCAGAGAGTGGCGGCATCGTTCAAGTTGGGGTGACTATTTGTCCCCTCAGGGTTAGGTTCAGAGGTTGCTCGGCCTCATGTCGGCCACCTCCTCTGTGATTCCCCTAGGCATGCCTCACATGCGGCCCCTCCAAAATTGGCTCAAAACTCGTGTTCCGTCCCACGCTTGGTGCCTGGGCCAGAGTTATATCAGGGTAACCCATCGCTGTATCAGAGCTGTGGCCCCCTGGACAACTTCTCACTTGTTCTTATCAGGCATTCAGTTGGGGATGACCTCCACAAGAAAAGTAGTCATGATGGACTCCTCCAGCTCGGGCTGGGGAGCTCTGTAAGAGGGCAATCCGGTATACGGCTACTGGTCAATTCATGAGTAAATCCTACATATCAACTGCCTTGAAATGATGACCCTGAAAACCTTCCTGCCAGCCTTAAAGGGGCACCACGTCCTGGTCCATTCAGACAACACAACGGTGGAAGCTTATATCAGCCACCAAGGCAGCCTCAGGTCATGTCTCCTTTACAGGATGACTCGACGTCTCCTGTTTTGGGCACAGAGCAAACTCCTCTCATGTGCCGGGCAAATTGAACCAGGGAGCAGACATGATTTCCAGGGACAATGTAGATCTAGGAGAATGGAGAATACATCCCCAGTCGGTTCAGATTTGGTCTGTCTTTGGCAAGGCAGAGGTGGACCTCTGGCCTCCGAAGACAACTATCACTGCGCAATTTGTTTCTCAATAAAGAATGATCTGGCCCACAACTGGCCCAACACCCATTTGTATGCCTTTCCTCTAAACGCCCTGCTTCCTCAGGTTATTAGGCGAGTCAGGGAAACATAATGCTCACTCCTCCTAGTGGCCCCACTTTGGAAAAACCAAACTTGGTCCCCAGAGCTGATTCAGCTGCTGTCTGCAGCTCCGTGGCCAATATCACTGAGTAGAGACCTTCTCTCGCAAGCGAAGGGCAAGATTTTGCATTCCCAGCCACAGCTGTAGAGCCTTAATGTTTGGACCCTTGACGGGAGTCTAGCGAGAGTCACTAATACCATTCTAGAGGCTAGAGCTCCGCCTACAAGATGTACATAGTCAGTCTTCTGTGACTGGTGTTCAGCACAAAGTCTGGATCCGTATGCTTGTGACATGTCCCACGTGCTAACATTCCTTCAGGAGTTGTTGGACAAAGGCCATACCTCTTCCACACTCAAGGTTTATGTGGCAGCCATCGCGGCGAATCATTCTCTCGTGGCTGGCCGCTCAATCGGCAGAACAACCTGGTTATTAAGTATTAAGGGGAGCTCAGAGACTGAACCTGCCTCACCCTAGAACTGTGCCGACATGGGACTTATCTATAATCCTGAGGGCCCTCAAGGGCAACTCCTCTTGAGCAGCTTCAAACACCTGGCCTGTGGCCCGTGTCACTCAAAACTGCTCTGCTTTTGGCCTTGGCATCGGTCAAACAAGTAGGTGACTTGCAAGTGCAGTCATTCAGCACTTCCTGTCTTGAATTTGGGCCTAACAACTGTAAATTCATTCTACAACCACAAAACGGCTACGAGCCGTGCAGAGCCCAGGTTATTTTCCTGTTAGCTCTCCCGACGGCGGACGACGAGTATGGTCCCAAATTGCTGTGCCCTGTTCGGATATTCAGAGTGTACATTGAGCGATCTGGGTTATTATGAAAATCAGAGCAGCTCTCCGTGTGCTTTGGAGGCCACTCTAAGGGGCTGCCAGTTACAAAGCAGAGACTGTCTCGCTGGATAGTAGACACTATAGCCCTGGCTTATGCCGCAGTGGGCTTGCAATGTCCTATAGGTGTGAGTGCCCATTCCATCAGAGGAATGGCCTCTTCCTGGGCGTGGTCCAGTGGGATTTCTATCGGGGAGATTTGTGCCGCCATCGGCTGGTCGTCGCATCTACCTTCACTAGATTTTACAATTTGGACGTCCCCGCTATGCAGGCGTGTATCCTTTCTGCTTGAATCTACCCATTCCCCTTTAAGCGGAAGAGCTTTGTTAAGTAGACCTCAGATTTACGACTTGGGTCTCTGCTGTAGTTCAGGCTTATGGGGCCCTCTAATGAGTGCTCCTAAGTTGGGCTTGTAGAGCATGCTTAGCTCTGCTTCTGGTCATAGCACAGTGCTGCTGGATGCATTCCCCATTACTGTCAATTGATGCAACTGGAGTTCCTGTTCGATAGGGAATGTTCCAGTTACTGGCGGGGTTGAGCACCATTGGTTTGTGCAGCTACACAAACGTTAACAAATCAGGATTCAGTAACAGAGTAAACAGGAGTTTCCCTATTAGCGTCGAGCGACACAAAGGGAGTTTCTGTACAATAGGGAAGCTACATTAAGTCGCACAACGTAAAAAGTGGTTTGTATAGTAACCATAAAATTTAATATACTTTTACTAGAATAAAATAATGGTTCATAATAGGTAAACACGGGTCACAAGTTAACACGGGCACATTCCCTTGATTCAACCAGCTGCATAATGTTACACTGAGAATAAAATCCTAACTTCAATCCAAAAATCTACGGCTGAACTAGTGAAGTCAGATAGCTCAGTGCGCACATTACTATTGTCAGACACAGCACCTGTTTTAGTGCGCGTTCAAAGCCTGTGCCAAGCAGACTTTTTTATTTATTTTCCATACTTCCCCCCCCCACACACACACCCCACACACACAATTTAAACACTACTCCCATCAGTTTCCATATTGTTAGTCTTCTTCAGTGGTACTGTGGTCTAGAGACTTTGAAGCATGGGGGAAAATATCTGATATTTACAGGCAGTTTTGACATTCTGTGGAGAAGTGGTAGTAAATAGCAGAGATGTAAAAAGTACACATATCCTTCACTCAAGTAGAAGTACAGATACTCATGTTTAAAAATACTCTGGTAAAAGTTGAAGTACCGACTACACATTTTTACTCCAGTTACAGTATAGAAGTATGGGCTCTGACATGTACTTAAGTAAAAAGTAACCATTACTACTACCTGTTTTAGTGTCACACTGGTAATGGGACCTCACGTCATATAAATACCTTAATACAAAATGACTTACATTTCACATTTTGTTAACTAATGAATGTATCCTGAACAACTGCCATTTAGAACAGGGCCAGACTGGGTCAGAATTTCACTCATCCAGGCCATCACATACACCCACACCAAAGTCTGAAATCATGGACAACACTATTTTTTTCTATGGCCATCACATAAAAAAGGTTAAAATCCTTAGGCTGGGGCCGCGCAAAATAACTATATTTTCTAAATTGCCTAAATGTCAAAATTAGTACAACAATAACTACACCATGACAATATCTTTATAGAAAAATCCTAATATTGAATATGTTATTGCATTATCATGAGTCATATTTTTCACTTATAAAAATTAACTATGATTTTATTATAGTAAAAGTATAGTAACCATAGTTCCCTTTCAAGGGAACTTCGAACTGCGTCCTCTAGGGGTCGCTATGGTGAATGATGTCAAGTTGACCGTTAAAGATGGCAGACTCGTCTATGTGCTTGGCGCAGTCGAATGGGGCATCTACCTATACATATCAATGGTATCCACCCACCAAAAACTATGGTTATACAAATGGTAATCAATCCACTAAAAAACGTCTCGGGTTACTTATGTAACCATGGTTCCCTGAGTAGGGAACGAGACACTGCGTCATCTAGGGGTCGCTATGGGGAATGCCTCGTCGTGACCCGTGTCTGAAGCATACATTGAAAAATCACCAACAACACGTTGGCCGGCGACAGCCCATGACGTCACTACCGGTGCGACTATAGTATAAATAGGCGCCGGGAGAACATGTCATTCACTTCTTCGTCTGAAGCTTGCGTTCGAAGCATGGCAGGAAGCC